TCCCTACTCCCCTTACCCCTCAATCTATCTATCTATCCAACCAAGGTGCAGTGACCAGTTTCCCCTCTCTCACTTCTGCAAGGGTCCCTGGGGTTGCCCATGTTTCGTTGAACCAGCGCAGCCCTTCTTGTCTGTTCCCCTGCAGCACTCTCCTTCTCCAGTCCGCCCGAATTTCCAATTTCAGCAGGTTCCGGAACACCTTTTCCGCCTGTTCTTCTGACCATTCTTGGGATTTGAATCTTCTCCCATTCCTGTCCCGGGATGACTGGGCCATGTATGCCCATCCCTTACTTCTTGCTTCCTTCGTTCTGTGAACCCTTGCAACACCCAGGCCATTTTCTGATCAACCTTCTTCACTGACATCCTTTCCCAGTGTGCAAACCACCAGAGCCACCACTTCTTTGATCTAGGACAGTCCCACCACATGTGCGTCATTGTCTCTCTTGGCCATGTACACCTGTCGCACTCCAGTTTCACATTCATTCCTCTTTCCTGTAGCCATTTAGCCGTAGGAACTGCCAGGTGTGACTGAAGCCATAGTAGTGAAGCTACCTTCTGGGATGGAAGATCCGCTAGCTGCTTCCACAGACGAATCAGTTGGTCCTCAGTTGGTGTTGGCTGGAACGGCTGCGCTGCTTCCCATCTGGGAACAAGTTTCCTCATTACTCCACTCTGCTTTGTGCGTTTCTTGAGCGTCATTGCCGGTTTCAAGTTACATAGATCTTTTACCACCTCTCCACTTATTTCCCACCCCCATCTACTAGGATCGATTCTTAGTGCAGAGATTGGCGTTGCCTCAGCCACCAGTTAATGTATTACTGGTACTTGCCTTCGTCCTGTCGCAATCTGCCGGACTCTGACTTCCTGGAGTCCCCCTAGTCCTCTTTGGACCACAGTTTGGGTAAGCTGCAATGTTGATTCCACCTGATCTTTTCTGATAAATTCCTTCATTTGGCAGTTCCCACTCCCATCCTCTTCCCACTCCTGCAATTGGTAAAGCTGCCCAATTCTTCTTCTGTTGTTCCCCGGAACCAGGTTCCTGGGGGGTTGACTACCTCCGGTCCCAACTGGTGTTTCCAATCACTGGGGATCGCTTGGAGTAGCAGTCCCAGTCTCTCCTCTAGGTACGGAAGCCTCCCCAGCTTTGTCTTCAGGTATTCCGGATTGTGCCATTGGTTTGTCAGGTCATTCCATAGATCCCCTACAGTAGAAACAGCTCTCTGTATCCACTTCCTCCCGAAGGTTCCCGGCCTTGCGGCAGCAGGGCCCTGTGCCCAAGGCTCATATTATCTAAGAAATAGCCTTGAGGTCAGGGTCCTCACAGTCTACCCGGAAAAAATTACCCATCCTGGGAGCATTACCCAGTGTCGCTTTTGATGAGACCCAGAGGGAACCGGGTGTACAAGCCTACATCTGACTACGAAATCCATCCCATCTCTTTCACCCGTAAATACTACTATGTGACGCGCTAACCTCACGCCCTGTGCTGTCTTTCGTTCGGAGTGCTAGATGTGAGGAAAGAGGCCCGGAAAAACAGCAAGATGGGGTGTGCCAAGGATTTTTGGAAATTGAGTGTGGGGACACAGACGGAACTGAAATCCCCCGTGTTGGTCCGATGAAGTAAGTCGGTTGCTTTCGCGCGTCGCGGAATGCGCGCGCGGATACGGCGCGAAAAGAGAAAAATCCAAATTCAATCCAAAAAGTATTGTCGAGCTTCCCACCGTGCTACAGCCCGTCGTTTAGAGCTGAAGGGCTTTGGCACGCTTCGCGTGTCTCGTTTTCGTATCAAATCCCGTCGTCGCTCGCTAGTCAGCTCTGAGTCTGATGTGGAGGGTCTCAGCCGCGTGGCTCTTTCCTTATGCTCGTCTTCACTCCGTATTGGGTAGTGGAAACCCTTTGCTTTGTAGCGATCGAAACGCTGGCACTCTATGCACAGGGTTCGAGGCCAATGGGGCGCCACTGCCGTCCACGGAATGACGATCAACTCGTTGAATGGCAACAATATCGAGTAGGGTGGAAAGTGCGTGTCGATAATCACAAACCCAGCCTCTACGAACTCTGAACAACGGTTTGCCGGAGGGAAGTAGTATCGACCGCCGATCTGTGCGACAGCTTCTCGTACGTCCCACTCACATACACGCGTCCTTTCCTCGTTGTAAGGAAAAGGTCGTGTTGATACGAGAGGTACGGGAGGCTGACGCCCGATCGAAGGGTGTTTGTCAGTCCACATGTCAAGAAACGCTCGCGCAACCACCAATCAGTCCTTTTTAATCATGAGAGAGAGAAAACACTCATCAATTGGGTCAAGTGCAGGTGTCGTGCAGTATAAGGCAGATGGCATGCGCAGCGCACTCAGAATTACAAATCTAAACACTCTTGCATTCTCAGACAAAATCCCTACAACAATCGTCTAATCAACGTAAAGAGACGCGTACCTCCATACATACATTCACTGTGGATTATGTGTGGAAGGTGCGAAAATGATATATGCACAGGGATAAAAGCTGGATCGCTGAGTAATACACACGCATCCACCGTTCACAAGACAAGAAGACGGGGTTCTTGCATAGGGGGACTACCCAAGAAAACTAATGGAAGAGTTCCGGAAGAAGTTCTTTCACATAGGAATAACATGCAGACTCATTCACATTAGAGAGAGAGAGAGAGAGAGACATCGAGACGCATTATCATTCAAAGATAGAGGAGAGAGAGAGAGATGAGGGAGGAATGTCGAGATAGAAGAGGACAATATCTGAGAAGAAGAAGTTCGGCGTTGCCGCCGTACACTCACGCCATAGATAAATATCCGCAACAACAAAGGCGCATTCGTCGTGAATTCCAATATGGCCCGAGGCCAATCACTCACTCAACTCCAGTCATCGATCCTCATACCCGCACCGACGATAACGGCTGCCGCGTGCTAACTCCCACCACTGCGATCGTCACCCCGCCGACGTAAAACTCGACGCGGTTCGCCCAGATCCCACAGTTCGTCGTGGCGATCAAACGCGCAACCGGCCAGCCTATCGTCAGCCCGAGGGGACTTTCCGACTCGCACCAAAACACTCTGCCTAGCCACTGCTTCCCGGAACCTGGCTCAAGAGTC